TCCTTTTCTGTAATGTATTTTGTGGAGATTGAAATGCCATGTCACACAGTTGAAGCTGACAGTTATCCCTCATGTCAGGAAGACGACACGCAACTTCAACCTACCAATGTGCAAAGCTGCCAAGACCACCATAGTTGAAGTGGAGGAGGTGGTTGACATTGGGGAAATCCCTGAGGACAGCGTTCATGTCCCTGCCATCTATGTGGACCGCATCATTAAAGGGGAAAAGTACGAGAAGAGAATTGAGGTAAATGTCTTTCTGTTCCTCTACTCTTTTTGTTTCATTAGGTAGCTATTATCACTAATATTACTGTTTGTATCACCATTACCACCCAAAACTCCAAACCAAAGCCTTCCTGTCTCAGTGACCCTTTCCTGCAGCGCTTGACCTTGCGTAAGGAGAAGAAGAAGAGTGCAGCATCCTCCAACCCGGCCGTGGCCATGAGGGAGCGCATTGTGCGACGTGCTGCCCTTGAGTTCAAAGATGGCATGTACGCCAACCTGGGAATTGGGATGCCCATGCTTGCCAGCAATTACATCCCAGATGGTAAGTCAGCCAAGGAAGGAGGGAATCTGTTATCTAGGTCTATGAGCTGTTTAGATATTCATGTTGATTTCTTATTTAACCCATTGGATCTGGTTGCATCACAGAAATCACAATGCCCTAAATACAGGCAGTGGGTTACATAAGTAGCCAACGGGCATGAGGTGCGTAGGCCAGGCGTGTGAACACTCACGAGTGGTAACAAGACTCTGTGCCTCCCGTTTTTTAACCTTTTGGCAATTTTCCAATGTCCATAATTGTATTTTGACTTGATTTATCCAGATGGTAATAGCTTATTTTCCTCGCACAGACTCTGTGTCATATCTCTATGTAGTTAATAACTTATTGCAAGAAAAAATGTATGGTATTTTTGATTATATGTATCATATATCTAATTTTTTTTCATAATTTTCAATATACCGTAATACAACCTGCGCTGCCGTTCATAGTGGCCATTAGTAGGATGTGCAACATGGAAATGGCATCCACCCCAAACCAGTGCTCTTCCAGTTACAGCGTACACATGTTACATTCTGCATTCATTTATCAGTGGTAATAATGCTAAAGCCCCCTTCCAAGCGCCAAATGAGTCAAATCACAATTCGAGAGGTTTGTACACTCGTGGCAAGTCTTTTCTGTCACCCTGGCCTTCGCTCATGGCAGCCTGTTTGTGTCACCCGGCCCGCGGCCATTTTACCCGATGACAGCAAGTTTGAGTCACCTGGCCAGCAGCCATTTTGCCCACAGACGGCATGTTCACATCACTTAGATTTTTCCATGACGGAACTGTGATGTCATCCAGATCGTAGGGGTTAAGCATATTTGTTTTTAAATCATAGGTATTATGTATTGCCTTGTACTTTACCCAACCACTTCTGTACAAGAATGGTTATACAATGTCATAGAGGTAACCCACTTCATTCATGTTGTTCTCGATCTTGGGAGCAATCTGGATGCAGGATTATCTCTTGCCATAACCCCTTGGATCCGGAGGTTTCATTGCCTACACAATTCCCAAAATATGGGTGTTAGGCTTGCTTTGAGTAGCCACTTTGATGGCTCTGCCGATTGTAGATCATGTGCACGGAAACACGTCTATAGGTGTCATTTGATTTGCTTTCTATAGGTGGTAATAAACTGTTTTCCTTGCACAGCACATTCTCTAGATAAAAATAACAATAAATGACTTTTTGCTATTTGCTGTAAGTTTCTTTTATTTTTTCATAACCAGTGATCTGTAATCCAACCTGCATTGCTGCTCTCAGAGGACAGGAATAGGATTCTGAGCTAGGAAATAATGTCCTCCCTTAAGCTGGTGCTCTTCCAGGCATGGCTTAAGGACGGTACATTCCACATTTGTTCGTAGATGAAAATAACACAAAAGGCCCCTCCTAAATGCCTATTGAGGCTAATCACTTTCCAAGAGCTTTATACACATTTGGTGAGTCATTCCCATCGCCCCAGCTTTCAGCGGAAATTCTTGTAACAGCAATATTCACATTAACCAGATTTTTTCATGACATGGAAAAAAATTATTATTGTAGAAAACAGGGAAACCTTTCTAGTGCAAAGTTTTTATTTTATTTTTTTTTTCCCATTGATAATGGATTTTCTGGTTTTTACTTGAGAATATTTTGCATTCAGTTATATGATAATATCTTATAATTAGTTTCTTTCTCTACAAATATTTAGATGCTTTTTTTTTTTTTTTGGAGGGGGGGGGTTCTGAATTTATATGTATATTAGTAAATATTATTCATTTAAATGCATCTAATTTAGGATAATGACAATGCAAGTCTAATGCATCAATGAAGGTCAGTGTGGACTGCTTGAGGAGTCCAAAGTCACAGGTGTCTCTCGGCATCCTATCAGCCGTCCTCCCTGATCATCCCCTTTTCCCCTAAAGGTACGAACGTGCAGCTGCAGAGTGAGAATGGAGTGCTGGGCTTGGGCCCCTTCCCTGCCCCGGGCGAGCAAGACCCCGACCTCATCAATGCAGGGAAAGAGACCGTGACTGTCACGCCTGGAGCCTCCTACTTCGGCTCTGATGAGAGCTTTGCCATGATCCGAGGGTAGGTGTCTCAGGAGAGACGAGGGAGGTGTGCCCCCTAACCCCCACCTCTTGTTGCTCCTTTCTTTCATGTGTCCTTTTCCTTCCCTCTCAACTTGGAGTTTTATCTCTGGTCTTTGCCTTTTCCTTTCTTCCTATCACTTTTGCCCCACATTTCTTGTTTTCTTCTTTCTGTTTTATTACACTAAGTAGAGAGAACTAAAAGAGCACTTAACCCCTTGGATCCAGTTATCTTGCACCTGGACCAAAATCCAGTCCAAATAGACCTTATGACTAGCTCTGTGTGTGTGTGTGTTTTGTTTTTGCCATTTTCCAAGGTCTATATTTATTATGGTATGCTTAACCCACTAACGACGGGTGGCCCACATATGAGACACCTGAAAAAATAAAACATTGCCAGGCATCCCACCAGTGTGACGCTGTATCGAGGCTCACGCAGCAATGCAGCAGCAGGCAAGCGGGCAGACTCCAGGCCAGCCCCACCTGCCAAATTTATAGCCGCCCAGAATCTTTTATATCTTTTAAAATATACCAGTGTTAATAGGTTAATCAAGATGGTAATAGACTATCTTCATGTTATCTGTCTAGATATTCAAACCACAATGGAATAACAATAACAATAACTAATATTTTGTTGTATGTATCATTTCTTTTTATATATTTTAATTTAATTTAATTTTCTGTAACACCCAGTGCCACCAATCACAATTGGCTGGAATAGATTCCCAAGATTGGAAATAGCGTCCTCCCTGGAGGACCCTCAGTTACCAGTGGAAATAAATCAGGTCCTTTCTGTATGGCCACTGCATGTATCATTTCTTCGTCCTAAAGGTTTTTGCATGAGGAGTCATTCCTATCACCCAGCTCCTCGTCAAATTTTCATGTCACAGTACCATGGCCTAGGCCTTCAGTCAAGTTTTTCCTTGATGGCAAATTCACCTCACCTGGATCCAATGGGTTAAGATAACAAGACTGCCAAGAATGCCACAACTGACGATTCATATCTTTCCCTCCTTGCACAGCGGCCACGTGGACCTAACAATTCTTGGGGCCATGGAAGTCTCGCAGTACGGTGATCTTGCCAACTGGATGATTCCGGTGAGTGGCCCCTTTACCATGCCTTAATGTAATATAATACTTGCCGTGAGTGATATTTGTGTGTATTTTCTTTGCAGGTCATTTGATTGCCTTTGATCTTAAGCTCAGATGTTGTTATTACTGCTACCAGGTATTTTGTTGCTTTAGATGTATTGTTAGAATTTTTTTTCTTTTAGGCATAACTTTAAAAGCCATTGATAATTTGGCAGTAGTTTTCCTTCTCAAGTCACTCACTGTCTCCCTCCAGGGCAAGATGGTGAAAGGCATGGGTGGCGCAATGGACCTGGTGTCATCGCCCGGCACGAAGGTGGTGGTGACAATGGAGCACTCTGCCAAGAAGGGCGGACACAAGATCGTGGAAGCCTGCTCACTCCCCCTCACAGGCAAGAACTGTGTTGATATGATCATCACAGAGAAGGTGAGTCTGGGTCCTTTGTTCTTCTCGCTTTTGATTTCAGTCATAGATTTGTGAGGAAAGTTCAGATGGGCTTGTAGAAAACATCAAGATCAGAGCATCTGATCTTCAGGTCAAGAGAAACAAATTTCCAGGCAAAATTACAGCCTTTCATTTGGATTCTGCTTTGTAGCTTTCAACAAACTTTCTACAGAAAGAATATATATGTACTGAAAGTTGATTTTAAGAACAAAGCACAAAACAGTTGCCATAATAGGACTATCTTCAGACAGCGTTTTCCACTTTCAGTGTGTCTTCAGTGTAGACAAGGAGAATGGCCTGACTCTAGTAGAAATCGCTGACGGCGTTACCATCGAGGACGTTGTATCCAGCACAGGATGCTTATTCAAAGTAGCAGAAAACCTCAAGCCAATGGGACAGATTGAAGTTGCAGATGAATAAAAGGCTAAAAATTACTTAAATTTAGCTTTCAATTCAAAAGAAAGATGGAGATACTCAGATTAGTGCAGTGTGTCACTGTGTGCATGGTTTGTTTGCTCGCATGCACACTGTCTAACATTTGATCTGACTCTTTGATTAACTAATGGGGCATATTCCACAGTCTGGGGCATTGATTATAAAAGGATGCACTTATCCTTTTGTTACTATAGTTCTTCCACACCTATAATAACAGCAAGTTGATTTTGCATAAAAAAGAAATGCACATAAGTAACTATAGTAATGAATAAAGTTTTTACTCTGTTTGAACCAAGGATTCCTTCTTCTTGGATCATCACCTTAGTCATTGTAGTGGCATTCAGTTTTACTCTTTGTGTGTAACAGTGTGTTAAAAGCTATATTTTCTTGATCTTACCTCATTTGTTCAGCTTCAGTTGATTGTCTGCACCACATACAAAGGAGAAAATAAAACAAAAAGCTTTTTAGGTGAAAGTTTAGTTTTTCTTTACAGTTTACTAACAAAGCCACATAGTTCAGTGATGAAGGCCACAGCAGCAACACTGGTTCAAAGCCAAGCTACTAGCTATAGGGGTCTCTTGCACAAACAAACTCAAGGGATATTTTGCTAGCGCCTACTGGAGATGCAGAGAGAAGATGCAGGTTTCTCTTATTGACTTGCCAGGACCGTGTCATTTGATCATAGAATGGTTGTTTTGCTAAAAGTCTTGTACAAGATTCTGCAGGTTAAGAAAATATCTTTCAAACTCAGATGTGGTCTTGTGGAGGATATGTCTTTCTATTATTAGACTGTAATTCCAGCTTTGGAAAGAGTGATAAGTAGCATTAATGGTGATGGAAATTTCATGGTAGTTTCTAAGTTTTTGCATTATTCAAGAAGCTTTAACATCTTTTGAGGTGAGAGTTGAAGTTCAATGTTAGGAAATATGAAAGATTATAAATTGAGAAATAGGGAAGACAATGAATTAAGAAATTGATAGACTGTTCCAGAAACATTGAGTGTACTGCAGGCTATCTTGCTTTAAAGAATAGGAGCAGATAATATGGTGGTACCAAAGTTTGCTTGGTCTTGTCAAAGTTGTATCGCCTTTCCTTACTGTGGCAGACTCTGCTAAGTGTGGGAGACTAAAATGATGTGTGTACTGTAGAGTTCACTGCTGCTTGCGATAAACAAGAGTGGATAATTCTTTGCCGCTGAATTCCTGATAGAGATAGTAGGTGGAGTAAGGTTGGTATTGGTAGGTGGTCGGTAATTTTTCCTTTCTTTCTTTCTTTCTTCTTTTGTAAATTGAGGCTTGTGCATGCAATTGGACTTGAACTCTGTGTATGTTGTACTAGTAGGAAGTTGGAATTAAGAGAATTAGTCAGTTATGGAAAAGGTTAATGCAATGAAAAGGGAAAAGCTTCAGTCTACAGCTACGCAGTGTCAAAAGTGATTCCAGTAGTGGTTTGTGGAGCCACAACTTCTCTCCCAGTGAAGACACTTATTTTGCTGGTGTTCAGATACACCTGTTTAAATAGTACAATGACAGTGGAAGGAGCCAGATGAAAGAAACATCTTTTATGACTTGAATGATAATGTTGTTGCTCAGGTTTCCCTACAATGCATCAAGATACTTAGAATTAGTATTAGTCCAGAGAATTGCAGAAACTCAATCCCTGTCACAAGCCAACTAAAAAAAAAAAAATTGTGGTCATCCATCTGGTTTCATCCTCATTTTTTGGTTGTAGATAAAATAGATAACAATTCTTTGCATTTTCCAGTCTATCACAAAAGCCAAATTATGTCTAGGAAAACCACAAATGAACACAGAGATTGAAGTTCTCAGCAGAGCACATTTGTTGCAAAATGTCGAGTGTATTGTAGTTCCAGTATAATCAATTGATGTACATTTGAAATTCATTCATGTTGTGTATAACTTTTAGGAATTAATGTAGGAAAAATATTTTAATACTGTATATAGAAAAATTTGTAATAAAAAAATTGCAAAACGTTTCACCATTGTTTTATAGATATTCCTTATTATGTATTATGACCACTTGTGTCATTTTATCATGTGGGCAATAGAAGTTGGAATTTCATAGTATTTTCTGAATGCTAAGGTACATGGAAAAAGGTAGATTGGTTTACAACATTTATTTAGCTGTATAGCAATAATGATTCCATATATAAAATTACATACAAAATTATACAGAAAGTATAAACATGAAAATCATTCACAGAGTTCTGTAGTCACCAAAGGTAGAAGCCTCCACAGTTGAAGTTACAATACAATGAAGAATACACTTGGTGCTTATATGAGCATTAGCAAGCCTGTAACATATTCTACAAAAGACAAGGAGTGTAAATCCTTTATATACATTCTCTAGTGTATGAGTGTGGTGTGAATTATTTACTGATCTTTGGTACAACTTTCTATTACCAAATAAAAGTGTTTGTTTCAACACATGCAGATTTTAGTTGTATATATATTTTTTAACTGTACAGGGTATTTTTAAAGTGCAGAATAATAGGCTGTGTAATATATGGTGAAACCCAGAAAAAACTCACTATCTCTGTCCACCCATATACTTTTATATATTATGTACAAATTCGCAAAATTGTGAATAATTATTCGTATAACGTAACGAAAGGGGGCGAAAACTCAAATTCACAAGTCGAAATGTGTTGGATCTACATTCCATGGAGCGAGTGCTGTCCAGCCTCATCCTCCCTCCCTTCGGCACATTTGACTTACTTTGTACTAGATTCTTACTTCAGTGTGTAAGTGATCATCATAAGGAGAGGAAAGTTTGTTCATTTAAATCGGCAGAATTTTTCCAAAGTCTAATATCATTAAACATGAGTTCTGTTTACTGTACATGTAGACAAGAAAAGAAAATCCTATTGCTCAGTTTAATATTATGTTAATTTAATATGCATGAGGCATCTCGTCTTTAAATTCATTAAACTGACATGGAGAAATTCATGTCGCAAAAACCTATTCCTAGCTTTGATTATGGATTGTGGGATGGTTTCGTCTCTGAGGGATTTGGGACACTGACAGGTACAGCAATTTGGTACAGTGGAGTTGAACTGTTCATACGCCATTATGTATTTCACTTTCAAACTTACTTAGAACGAGTTCAACTTCCTCACGAGATATTTCTATGTTGTGAGCTATCATTTTCATGATGAGATCTAATTTTTAATCCAAAGTGGAGAAGCTGTGAATAATTCTAATTATATGTACATTTTCTTCTAGAAAGATGATCACAGGAGAATGAACATGATTTGATACCACATCACAGAATGACCGTCGTATAGAATAAGACCGCCATGGATGGAGCCAGCTGGAATAACGCCACAGGTAAGTCAAGGTGATCCTGATGGCATCATTTCACTCGAATTAGTGACTTTAGGGACCAGATTTGATTACAAGTTTGATTGTTTCAAGTGCAAATGTGCTTCTCTAACTACCAGTAGAAATGACATAAAATCCTTGTCGAGTCCGGACTTTGAACTATTCCTAATAACAATTGTACAAAAGCAAAAAAAAAAAAAAAAAAATCAGTATATGAAAGTAAGACTACTTCTGGTATCTTCGTAAACCTAACTTGAGACTAATGGAAATCCATTCCTATTTTCCCACAGAGTTCACTGATAATCAGAGGTCCACAGATGAGGTGGCTCTCCGAGGGCAAGTACGCGAGTGGCGACAGGGGGAGGGGGGCTTGAACATCACAGAGAGTGTGAGGGTGAAACACAGAAGCTGTAAATCAGACCTTATCCTACTTGGCATGCAGGCTCGAGTCTTACGGAGACGGAGGCAGCCGATGAGGGAAGTTCAGAGCATGGAGAACGAGGTGCTGAGAATGTACTCTTAGACTGCTATTAGGATACAGTTATTTGAATTATCCACACTTTGTCAGACACTGATAATAATATGCAGAAACAAGGCTGCTTTGCCAAACAAAAGCTATGTAAAAATGGTCTAAACTTTGGCTGTGATCCGCGATTCTAGAGTTGCTTGAGAATTTGATATTGAAGTATATACAATGGATAAATCTCGTAATACTGTCATTCCGTAATGGATTGAGGTTATTCAGTCTACTCGTGTAACTGGAGCAAGGGCTCGTGTGGCCCCCGAATTTCCTTCAATTTTATCTTGAAAGGAGCAGTCAAACAACTCTCGTGCACGACCCGAGTGAACAAGGAACACTTTTATTATATGAAATGTGTTGATGGTGCGAGAGGACACAGAATTCATTTACTTTGTAACCATTTTCTCGATATATATATATATATATATATATATATATATATATATATATATATATATATATATATATATATACGTATGCATGTATGTATATATGTATCAACACATTGCACATGACTAGTCCGTGTAAGGGTTTGTGAAGGAAACATCTGTATGAATGTATAAATGCACAATTTGGTTACCTGCCACAGAGAAAAAAATAAGAAATTATAAAAAAATATCACAGAAATTCACAAATACTCGGGATGGCACTCCTGGAGCCTCGGTTTTGTCGAAGGAGAGACGACCGAGCTTTCCTCTGGGTCTCCGGGCGTCCGGGAGGAGCCGTGGGCCCGGTCTCCTCCGCCGCGTGCTGCTTCAGCGCGCGGATTGGCTGCTGATCGCGCGTTGTGATTGGCCGTCTGTGCGGTTCCAGTTTTTGGAACACGTCTCGAAGGAGCAACGAAAGTTAGTTGGTAAGCCAGCCCACAAATAGTCAATTTGATAATGTCTCTTTTCTAGGATCAAATTATCGTCGGGAAAAAAATGCGAATTATTTTCTATTCGTACTTGCGCGCAACAAGGGAGAAAACGCTCTAAATTTTCTCATCCTGATCAATTACCGACAGCGACGTAATGGATTACCGACTAGGCCATTATGACGTCACAATGTGCCGAAAACGTCATGAAAACGTCATGCCGAATCCGACAGCCCTGCTCGTCTGCTTCCCTCTCTTCCTTCTCGGTCGTCGACTTTTTGGAACTGGAAGCGAGTCGGAGGAACAACCTGCTCTTTGTCCTCTCGATGCACACTAATTAATGACTGAGTGTATATTCTCGTTTATGTTTTTTTTTTTTTTTTATGAACAAATACAATGATTTATACAAAGCTTCGTGTTAGGGCTGGAATTATTTAATGATGGGGGGAGATTTTTTCTTTCTTTTTAATTACTGAAACTTGTCAGACAACCCGACCTCCAGAGATCAAGAGAAAAGCATCTCACCGAAGACACATCTGGATAATAAGAGTTGTGTTTTAATGTATGTATATATATATATATATATATATAAGCTTAAACTTATATGTTATGCTGTGCTACGAACACAGGCGTAAGACTCACCGATAAACATATATTAACTTTACTCTTTCTCTTCTCTCTACCCATTAAAGCTTTTTTCTTGATAATTCAGTTCTTTCTCTTTTATATTTTTCTTTTTTCAATTTCTCTTCAATCTCCCTCTTACATACTGCAGACTGTTACATACAATCAGTTTAAAAAGAAAATAAAGTGAAAATTAAATATGACAATATTAGAGTTAAATTCAGCTAAATCGCTAAATAAAGTTCATGTTTTTCCTCGAATGAATGCGGAGCAACTGCGCTGCAGACATGACAGACTCTTGGAGACAAAACGAAAATTTGAAAATTAAAAGATTTAAATCATTTATATATATATGTACTATACAAACTAAAAATATAATGATTTCTATCTGCAACAAACCTGACTAAAATGAGCTTCCCCAAAAGAGAAATGACGACGCTTGGTCTGTTCAGCGGAAAAAAGATCCAAACCGAATGTTGAAATCCACTCGCTTCGTCTTGACCGCACTGTCGCCAGTCCTTGGACCGGCCTCTCGGCCTCCGGCCCGCACCCCGCCGAGGGCGACGTCCCGCCGGGGTGCAAGGGGACGAACGTCGACTGTGTTTATGCACGCGATTATGCCTTGTGGACCGACCTGTCTGAGCGGGACTACGAGGGCGAGTCTACGGGGAGTGAGGGCCAGCCGCGGGCGGAGCAGGAAGGCCCGCTCGCGCGCTGGCCGAACCGTCTACGAAATGTGATCCTACTTCCGGTCCCCGGGCAGCGGCCGGTCCCTGCTTTGTCTTCGGGTGGCAGTGATGCGTTGCCGGGCGTCTCGCTCGCCCGCCCCTCGCACGGGGACGCCGCCGCCTGGGAGGCAGCTCCTGTGCGACGAGGGAGCGCGGCGAGTCTCTGCCGAAGGCGTGGCGAGGCGGGGCTTCCAGGGCGCCCCGAGGCCCCGACGCCGAGGCTTAGGCGTACTTGTGCGAGCCGATGATGCGCTCGCGCTCCCGCTCGCGCGAGCCGGCGCTGAACGAGTGCTTCTTCTTGCGCCGCATCTTGTCGATGTCCTTGCCGAAGACGTCGCCGGAGCGCAGCGCGGAGATCAGGTCGTCGAAGTCGTTCTCGTTCTCGCCGCCAGAGCTGCTGTCGCCCGGCGCCGCCTGCCCGCCGCCGCCGCCGCCGCCGCCGCCGCCCAGCCGCGTGCTGCGCTCCCGAGCTCGCTTCTCGCGCTCGACCTCGCGCCGCTGCGGGAGAGAGGGGGAAGGGGTTAGCGCTGGGGCTGGGGGAGGCAGACGCGTCCTCCGGCAGAAGGAGCGCTGCCTGGCCAGGCCCTGACACTAGGCAAGCTCTGAATGCAATTCCGAAGCTGCACAAAGTTACATTTTCAGAGAAATCCTTCTTTCTGCGCTTGGAGGGCGGTTGCCACTGCAAGGCTTTCTAGATATTCAGTCTAATATTAATAATAATAATAATAGTCTAATAATAGATATTCTAATACTCTGAAGCCAAAAACGTACTTTGATATGACTCGCTCAGATGAAATACTTTCTTCATTCTAATTATGCCTATGAATATGCATAAGGCTTTAGCTACTGACACTTTCGATATACAAAAAAAGTATACTGACTACAGCAACTACCCATACCCAACTTAACAATCTGCAAGAAAATGAAAAGATTATACAGAATGGTTTATATTTACTAGCTAAAGAGACCAGACTACATTTCAGAAGCGTTTTGTCACAGCTACGAGAGAAGTGAAGTCCCAGCACCTCTGTCCTGTGGTTTATCCTGTGTGGATGAAAAGGTCTCCCTTGGCCGAGAAGCTCCCCTGCGGCGGACCCGGGGCGGGGGGAGGGGAGGGGAGGGGGGGGTTGGAGGAAATCAAAGTGAGGTGAAGAGGGAGGAAGCGAGGGAGAAGGAGAGGGAGGGAGGGAAGAAAGAGGGAGAAGGAGGGAGGGCGGGAAGAAAAGGAGAAGGAGGGAGGGAGGAAGAAAAGAAGAGGAGGAGGGAGGAGAGAAGAAGAAGGGAGGGAGGGAAAAAAGAAGGAGGGAGGGAGGGAAGAAAAGAAGGAGGGAGGGAGATGAACAGAAGGAGAGAGGGAGGGAAGAAAGAAGAAGGAGGGAGGGAGGGAAGAAAAGAGGAGAAGGAGGGAGGGAGGGAAGAAAAGGAGAAGGAGGAGGGAGGAAGAAAAGAGGAGGAGGGAGGGAGGGAAGAAAAGAAGAAGGAGGGAGGGAAGAACGGGAAGAAAAGGAGAAGAGGGGGGAGGGAAGGAAGGAGGAGGAGGGAAGAACAGGGAGGGAGGGAAGAGAGGGAGAAGGAGGGAGGGAGGGAAGAAAAGAAGGAGGAGGAGGGACACTTAGGGAGGGAGGAAGGGTAGGGATGAGGGAGAGGAAGGGAGAGATGTACAAAGAGCGGGAGGGAGAGGGAGACACGTATAGAGGGATTGAGGAAGAAATGGACAGAGAAAGGGGAGAGAGGGAAAAGAGAAAACGAGAGGCGAAGAGAAGAGACGAGAGGAGGGAGGAGACAGCCAGGCCGAGCAAGACAACAGAGCGAAAACCGCCCGCGAAACGCCCGTTGTTCCGCCCCGGGTCGCCGCCGCACGCCCGCCGCCCATGCAAGGCGTTGGTGCCCCCGCAAGCCCCTGCGAAATCGCACTCGGATTGCTTGCCGAAAGAAAAAGTCTGGAAATCTTTCGCGTAAAAAAAAAAAAAAAAAAAAAAAAAAAAAAAAAAAAAAAAAAAAAAAAAAAAAAAAACGCACAAATATGTATATACAAACAAACCAAAATAAACAATAAAAGCAGACAGACGGAAACGACTCAAACAGCAAAGACAACTCCAACGGAAGGCCTCCCGCGTGCCGCCGCGACCGCCTGTGTCCGGGCCGCGGCGCGTCAAGTGGCGCGTCAAGTGGCGCGCCAGTTGCAAGCGAACATCCCGAGCGAGATTCCTGCACAAGCGGCGCGGCGTCGCACACAGCTCGCACGTGGCACACACGACGCCACGCCGCTTGTGCTTTCATATATCTCGGGATGTTCGTTTCCAAGTGGCGCGCCACGTGCGACGCGCCACGTGGAGTGTCAGCGACCGACGACCCTGGACTTCGTTGGCTGTTCTCAGGGGCGGTCTCGTTATTTTCATCCTCGTTGCGACCAGGTTTGGGGTTTAGGGGAAGTGGGGGCGGCCGGGTTATGGTCTTCGCTATCACTGTTTTCTAATCATTATTGTTATTGTCATTAGTATTATGTTATCATCATTATTATCATTAATACTACTATTATTATTGTTATTATTATTATTATTATTATTATTATTATTATCATTACTATTATCACTATTATTACGATTATCATTATTATTATTATTAATATTATCATCATCATCATTATTATTACCATCATTAATAATATTATGATAATTAAAATGATAATTATTATTGTAATGATCATTATTATAATTATCATTACTATTATTACTATTATCATCACTTGGTTACTATCATCATCATTATCATTGTCATTATCGTTGTCATTATTATTATCATCAACTTTATTATCATTACTATTATTATTACTATTATAACCCCTCTCATATTATATTCAGTTATCAATGACATTGTTATATCACCTATTATCATTATCATTATCATCATTCAATTAGGAAAAATAGAATGGTATTTGTTTTATCATCACTATTATTATTTTTACTTATTACTATTATCATTATATTCTTATTATCTTTATTGTTCTTATTATTTTTGTTATCGATATTACTCTAATTGATATTATCATGATTAATACCATTATTTTTCTTTATCATAATTCTTATTATCATCTTTATTGTTATTCCTCTACTGTTCTATTCTCATCACGAAATCCTCTCTCCCCTTTAATGATTTCTTCTTATCATCATCATTATTCCCCATCATCGTCATTTATCAACATTTTCTTATCATTATCATCACTACCATCGCCGACGCACTCCCCCCCCCCACCCCCCACCCAGGCGCTGTACGTAGGTCGGGAAGCGTCGCGGTCTGTACTGAGAGTCGTTCGTCGGGTGGGCTGTCGGGAGTGGTGTGGGGTGTCGGGTGTGATGTGTTGCTGGGTGTCTGTGTCGGGAGTGGGTGTGGGGTGTCGGGTGTGATGTGTCGGATGCTGGTGTCTGGTGTCGGGAGGGGTGGGTGGTGGGTGTCGGGTGTGATGTGTCGGATGCTGGGTGTCTGGTGTCGGGAGGCGTGTGGGTGTGGGGTGTCGGGAGTGATTGTCGGATGCTGGGTGGGTGTGGGGTGTCGGGTGTGATGTGTCGGATGCTGGGTGTCTGGTGTCGGGAGGGGTGTGGGTGTGGGGTGTCGGGTGTGATGTGTCGGATGCTGGGTGTCTGGTGTCGGGAGGCGTGTGGGTGTGGGGTGTCGGGAGTGATGTGTCGGATGCTGGGTGTCTGGTGTCGGAGCGGGTTGGGTGTGGGGTGTCGGGTGTATGTGTCGGTGCTGGGTGTTGGTGTCGGGAGGGTGTTGTCGGGTGTGTGTTGGGAGGGGTGTGGGTGTGTGTGTGTCGGATGCTGGGTGTCTGGTGTCTGGGTGTGGTGTCGGGTGTGATGTGTCGGGAGTGGGTGTGGGGTGTCGGTGTGATGTGTCGGATGCTGGGTGTCTGGTGTCGGGAGTGGGTGTGGTGTGGGTGTCGGGGTGTCTGTGTCGGGAGTGGGTGTGGGGTGTCGGGTGTGATGTGTCGGATGCTGGGTGTCTGTGTCGGGAGGGGTGTGGTGTGGGGTGTCGGGTGTGATGTGTCGGTGTCGGTGTGTGAGTGGTGTCGGGAGGGGTGTGGGTGTGGGGTGTCGGGTGTGTCGGTGTCGGAGTGGGTGTGGGTGTCGGGAGTGATGTGTCGGATGCTGGGTGTCTGGTGTCGGGAGGGTGTGGGTGTGGGTGTCGGGTGTGATGTGTCGGAGTGGGTGTGGTGTCGGGAGTGATGTTGTCGGATGCTGGGTGTCTGGTGTCGGGGGGGTGGGTGTGGGGTGTCGGGTGTGATGTGTCGGGAAGTGGGATGAGTGTTGTGTCGGATGCTGGGTGTCTGGTGTCGGGAGGGGTGTGTGGGGTGTCGGGTGTTGTGTGTCGGGTGTTGGAGTGGGTGTGGGTGTCGTTCGGATGCTGGGTGCTGGTGTCGGAGGGGTGTGGGTGTGGGGTGTCGGGAGAGATGTTCGGATGCTGGTGTCTGGTGTCGGGAGGGGTGTGGGTGTGGTGTCGGGTGTGATGTGTCGGATGGGTGTGGGAGTGGGTGTGTCGGGAGGGTGTGGGTTGAGGGTGGGTGTCGGATGGGGTGTCGGGAGTGGTGTGGGGTGTGTGGTGTCGGAGTGATGTGTCGGATGCTGTGGGTGTCGGGAGGGGTGGGGGTGTCGGGAGTGATGTGTCGGATGCTGGCTGGTTGGAGTGGTGTGGGGTGTCGGTGTGGGTGTCGGGTGTGAGGTGTCGGATGCTCGGTGTCTGGAGTCGGGATGTGGGGTGTCGGGAGTGTGGGTTGGAGTGGGTGGGGTGTCGGGTGTGGGGTGTCGGGAGTGGGTGTGGGTGGCGTGGCGGGTGTGATGTGTCGGATGTGGATGTTGTGGGTGTGGGGTGGTAGGTGTGGTGTGGGGTGTCGGGTGGGTGATGTTGTGGGAGTGGGTGTGGGTGTCGGGGTGATGTGTCGGATGCTGGGGTGTCGGGAAGTGGGTGTGGGTTGGTCGAGGGTGGGTGTCGGGGTGTCGGGAGTGGGTGGGGTGTCGGGTGTGATGTGTCGGATGCTGGGGTGTCGGGAGGGTGTGGGTCGGATTGGGGTGTCGGGAGTGGTGTGGGGTGTCGAGGGTGTGCGGGTGTCGGGAGTGATTGTGTCGGGGGTGTCGGGAGTGGGTGTGGGGTGTCCGGAGTGATGTGTCGGGTGTGGTGTCGGGAGGGTGTGGGTGTGTGGGTCGGAGTGAGGTGGGTGTCGGGTGTCGGGAGTGGGTGGATGGGGTGTCGGTGGGGTGTGTGGGTCGGGAGGGTGTGGGGTGTCGGGAGTGGGTGTGGGGTGTCGGACGTGTGTCGGGAGTGGGGGTGTGGGAGTCGGAGTGGGTGTGGGTGTCGAAGGTGGGGTGTGTGGTGTGTCGGTGCCTGAGTGGATGTGGGTCGGGTGTGTGTGTGGGATGGAGGTGTCGGGAGTGGGTGTGGGGTGTCGGGAGTGGGTTGGGGTGGGGTGGGTGTGGAGGTGTGGGTGGGTGTGGGGTGTCGGGAGT